AGATGTGGCCAAATTTGCTCCACGAGCAGGGTACCCGCTGGTCACAGCTATTCTCCCGCATATCTTGACGGAGCGCAAGCAGGAGCTGCTCCCTGCATTGCCTGAGTTTGGCCCTGTTGACCTGGCGTACATGTCTAACAGTATAGCCAATATCATTACAACGTCTGGCGTAAGCGACTCTAGTGAGCTGCTGAAGAGATTCGGCCAGCAAGTTGGGGAGTACTTCTCAAAGCCGGGACGCTTGGAGGCCGTCCCTATCTACAGTCTGGTTACGCTTACCAACGCTCTCAATAGACTGGGCTACGATGGTGGAGTCTCTCGGCGGCGCGGCGCCAGCGAAGATCTCTATGCACGTTTCGATCGTCTGTGCTGCGAGAAGATAGACTCGATGAACGCCAGCGATATAGCGGTAGCCCTGCAGTCGTTCCACAACGGTGGGTGTCGGCATGCTAAGCCCTCCCCTGACTTGCTCGGGAAGGCCGCTGATCGTCTCAAAGGAGAACTCCGTCAGCAAGTAGGAGTACTCGTCCCCATAGCATACCCAGTATCGATCTCAGATACCCTCGAAAAGCCTAGCGCAGTTGCTGAACATCTTCGTCACTTTCGGCTACAAGCAGGACCGGGAGCTCCTGCTTCTGCTGTTCGACGGTGTGCTATCTACACCTGTTGAAGATTCAGAGGTGAAGCCGTTCCCTGTATGGCCACTGCTAATGACAACTTGATGGTTTTCAGATCTTTTGCGCCCCTTTGGCACTAAACTCTCTCTCTAAGTGCTCCCAAACAGTCGACGAAGGTGTCGACTCTGGGGTATTGCCCTCCACTGCTATTGTTTTCAACCTGGCCACTAAGTGAGAGGATTTCAGACTCCTTTTTATGGTGAGTATCCATCAGGCACATTCTACCGCGACTGAACGACCTAGGCCCTTGCCAGATCGCCAATGTGGTCAACGCGTTGGGCAGTTTGAAGATCTTCGACTATCGTCTCCTCACGGGCATGTCTCATCTGATCGCCAATAGCGATGGAGGCCACACTGTGCCGCTGCGGACCTTCTCCTTTCAAGAGCTCAGTAACATATCCCATGGTTTTGCCAAGATTGCGTAAGTTCCTATGTGTCACCAACGTGTCGTCGGGCTCAATAGTGCATTGATTATGACACCACTCTAGGTGTCTCGAAATACGTTATTCTGAGCCGGATTACTTGATCGGACATGGTTGCAATTCCACACCGGAACCCTGTGGTTGTTGAGGAACGTCTGGGTCACAACCGATGACGTGACCGACCTCACAGACATGCTACTAGGCCGTGTTGCTATTCCTGCGTCTCAGGTACGGTAGTAGTAACCTCTACATTGCCCTATTCGAGGAAGCCAGCCGGCGAGAGAAGGACTTCGACGCACAAGGGGTGTCTATGTTTCTTGATTCAGTGAGGAGAGTGGCCAATAGATGGTACAATGGAATGCTCAGAGACCCCAACCGGCCTGGGCCTCAGCCAGGTGCGTTGTCGAATCGCCTCTTGCGACGCTATCATTTGCATGCAGGTCTTCAGTACATTCCTCGTGCTCTCATGGAGGCCATCTCTAAGTTGCTCAAGGCATGTGAGGCCTGGTCTATCGGACGTTTGACGGCGGACAGTGGTGGGGGCATTGGCGTTCAGTCATCCACACAAATCTTGCTGTGTCTGGTTGAGCTGGGTCGTGGCAGTATAGCCTCTACGTCCCCTTTATCGAAGTGTTTCGGCCTCGCCTCTGAGAAGGGTAAGTGTGGGTCCTTATGAACGAGATCCTATTAAGACCTTCTCCTCAGGGTCCGAAGCGGCTGGTGACAGACCGTCTGTGCCCAAGCTGTTGCTGGCCTCGTTGAAGGGCCGTGCAGATCGACTCACTAAGGAGCAAACCAGGCATATAGCGCATGCAGCTCGACGCTATGAGGCTTGCGATACGGGAGCATATCGGACGCTACCATCAGACGTGAATAGAGCCGTCTTAGTTCGTTGGTGCGTATTCTGTGTTCTGCAGGTGTTGTGCTGGGTCGAGGATATACAGCGTGAATTCCCGGCTGGACCGAGGAGCAGCCGAGCCACTGTGACATCGTGATTAATGTAGACTGAATACATGTTTCTGCAATAACCGTTTCATCACTTACTATGCATGTCGGGTTGTTATCTTCGTGACTTTTGATTAAGACGTAGTGGTAACCGCTCACAAACTAGTAGATTATGAGAGATGAGGCAAACAAGAATTGGCCATTTGGCGCTGAAATATTGGTCGCTTAGGATTCGAGAACACATGGAACTTTTATACTTAATAAGATGATGATGATTATTACAATGTGAATATTCGGTTTGCATTAAAGTTGTTGCTATCGGGGAAAAAGACCAACAGCCAAGTATGTGGCAGTCAGAGGCAATCGATAGTGATGTCAGTATACCCGCCGGGGAAAAGGACCGTACAGTCACAACAAGGCTGTCGGAGGCAAACGGAGGGATTAGTTACGTTCGTTACGATGTTAGATTGATGATCTTGGAAGACTGATTGTCATCCCGTGCTATCATTTGTGTATACGTGCAGCTATATCGATTAGGACGTTAGCTGTTCGGGCGCGAAGACAGGACACACAATAGGCGCAAGTT